AAACTTAATAATTAAATTCAAACAATTTAAAATTAATTTAATTTCATTTTTATTCAAATAAACTTAAAGTTTAATCAAAACTTACTTATTAATTACGATTTTCGTCTATTTTTAATTTTTTTTTGGGGTTACAAACTTCTTAACCCACTTTCAATTCACCTATAAAAAGTGATATTCTCACTAAAAGATAAGTAATTAACCATTCTGCCTAACCGTGCCGAACAGATACAATTGAGAATTGTGCGTAAAAATAATATGGAAACCACCGGCAATATATTAAATTATAATAGTAAAATCAATATAACTAAAATGTTATTTTGTAATATTTCACATTATAAATGGGTTTATTATATATGTTAATTTACATAATTAACTAAAAAATTTTATTATCAAATAAAATTATGGTGAATAATTTTAACAAATAGAAATACAATTACACACAAAATTTCAAATGCATGCGAACGGGCTCAAAGCTTCACCAATATTACTGTTTATCATTTTTTTTAATATGGGAAATTATGGAAAAGGAGGGATTTTTAAAGTAATTAATAAAAATTAAATTTTTAATTAATTAAATTTAAATATTAAAATTTAAAAATGACTTATTAAATTTAAAGTCAACTCGTTTATTATTTTAAAAAATAGAACAATTTTTAACGATGATTGTTTATGCTCATACATAATAAGCTGGCATTTCTTTTCGATTTCACAAGGGCGCATTTCACATGGAGCTGAGCTCTAGTCTCTAGACCCTCACCCCCATCCGCCTACTGTATCTGTGCTGGTAACAATTGTACATTTCCATCACTCCAAACATTTTATCTCTGGTTATTAAAAACAAAAAAAAAAAAATCTGTTTTTATCTCTGATCTAACTGATCTCTCCACCACACAGTCACATGCTGGCATTTTCCTTCTTCTAGGGGTCAATAATTGCTTTTCTGCACAGTTTTTCCTGCTTTCCCGAAAGTTGTTCCATGTTTACTGTACCGGACAAATGGTCGATTAATTAAATAATAATTTATTTTAATATAATAATTTTAAAAGATAATT